AATCCAATGGTGAGCAACGAACCATCGAATCAGGCCTGAGGCAGCCCCGGGCGGCGGGAGAGTCACGGGCCCGCACCCCTTATGCCAGATCCGGCAAGGCGGGAGGATAGCAGACCAATGAGAAGACTGATAAGCCCCCAAGAATCTGAGTTACCCAAAACAGCAAAAGCAGGGTTCATGGAGGCCTAGCACTAAGCCACGATAGGCAAAGGGCCAGGAGCCGAAGATGGGGATTTGACTTTTAGGTTTTTTGGCTGCAAGTGGATGTGGTGTGGATCCCGGCTTTGTCCCAAGACGGCATGACGAGAGAGATTCATTGCTGGCTTGTCGGGGTTTAAGCATCAATTTTTTTTTCTTGTTCTTGCCTTTCCCCCCCGCCTCGATGTCCATCCCTCTATCTCTATCTCCATTCGGGAACGGATGTCCATCAGTTCCGGGATGGACCGGTGCTTCTTATTCAGTTTCGGGAGAAGATCTAGGATAAACTACACTTTAGTTCCATTAATAGTCAGTAGATTATTGTAGGATAAACGGGGGGATGCTTCAGGGGGTGTGACTGCTTATTCCTGATTGGGTCAATTGGGATGGTGGCCTGTGGGGCATGTCAAGGATGGGGGAAGAAAAGCACACCACTAAATCCGACTAAATCAGTACTAGTGAGTTGCTGGTATTAGATAGTAAGTAATATCTAGTAGTGAACAGTTTAACCCTCTTTTTCCTTTTTCTCTCTCGTTTTCCATTCCCAGGTGGAAGATCTCAGACGGTATACCATGTAGAGTAGGATGAACACTGGCCATGCATGGTACTTGCTTAGTTTTATTTCTTTTTTTAAACCAAGAATTGTACAGTCGTCAATCTTTAATAAATGATCATCCTCTCAAGATGGCAAGTCATCAGCGAGCTGGGTCATGACAGACAAGAGACAGAAAGAAAGAGGCAACGATGATCCAGGGTTCAGCACACCGCGACCCAAGATGACCAAGATGACCATTTGCCCATTCGACCGCATGATGCATCATCCTGTCTCTGTCTCTTTCCCTTCTGTTACTACGGCGGTTGGGGCGCCGAGCCCTTCGTAGCGCTGCATTAAACACCACAAACCCTTTTTTCTTTTTTTTCTTTTTTTTCTTTTTTTTTTTGGCCCGCATTTACTGGTTTCGTCTTTTGGGGAAGGCCAGAGCCATCCAGTTCCATTCAATCCATCCAATCCATGCCATCGGGGTTTCGCGCTCTTACTGCCTCCGTGCAAAGACAAGAGAAGTGGGGCAGCGATCTATCGGCTAGCTTTGGACAACTTTGGAATTATTGTTGGAAAAGTGCTTTGGTGGAGGAGGGAAAAAGTGGGTTGTGGAATTGAAGGTGGTCTCGATGAGCGGGTTTTGGAACCTTCTCCCGGAAAAGAGGCCCAAAACCTCTTTAGTCTCTCTCCTTCTTTTCAAAAAGCATGGGGAGTCGGTCGTTTGTTTCGATATTAAATCCCATGGATCTCCAACTATCCACCCTGGCCAAGAAGGTGTTGTTGAAAGTTGAGCTGTAACAGTTGGAGGGGATCACGGCTTCTTGCTTGTTTGATTTAAGGGACTGTTTTTCATATTAATGTTCCCTTCTTTTTACACTTCCTATGAAACATCCCCCCTCCTCCCTTCCATCCTTGACGCTTCTGCTTCCACCTTGCGCCTGCTGGGAAACCTCCCCTCCCTCCCTCCCTCCCTTTAACCCTCCCCGGCATCTTCTGCTCCTTCAGCCAGTCAGCCAGAACCCGGAAAAGAAGGAACAAAAGAACACGATAGGGAAGAATAATAATATAATCCCTAAGAAAGAAAACAAAAGTCCCCAGCAATGCCTGCACGGCGCACCTACAGAGCCCCGGCGCGGAATGGCTGTTTTGAGTGCAGGAACCGGCGAATCAAGGTAGGTGCTCTTGGGGTTTTAGTCCCGGTGAAGCTTAACTTAAGTTGCCTGGCCTGGCCTGCTATTTTCTTGGTTGTTTGGTCCACTCAAAGTTTCCATCCTTTTTCCCTTCTTCTACTGCTGCTTTCTTCTTCTTACATTTTCCCTCTTTTTTCATTTTCTCTCTTCTGTTATTTTCCCTTCTCCCTTCCCCCCTCCCAATTCCCTCCTCCCCCATCATTGCTTGGGTGCCTGGATGCCTGAATGATGCAGTGATCCCTTTCCCTTCCCCTGCCTTCTCCCTCCAGTCCTCCCTCCTACTTTTAGATATGTACCTATCAGTGGAGCTTTATCTGCTTGTTTGATTACTGCTGTGGACCGGGACCTTTGCTACTTTTTGTTCCCACCACCACCACCCACCCCCCTCCCCTGAATTATTACACCACACCACTTTTCTGTGGTTCTTCAAATCGGGACTGGTGGTCCTGTGTCGCCCTCATAGATGCTAATCGAACCGGGATGCAGTGCCCCAACGAACACCCCCAGTGCTCCCATTGCACCAGCGACAACATAATATGTCAATATATTCCCTCCTCCACCTCCTTGGTCTGGCCTAGGGTCAAGTCTCGCTCCACCACCCCGACCCTTCCCCCATCCCGCACCGCCTCCCCTTCCCACGTGAACCCCAGGATTTTCGCTGAATACCGCGTCGTCATGGACCCCGTTGCCCCTTCCACTCCCACCGGGGAGCTGAATATTCAAGACCTCGAGTTGATGATGCAATGGTGCACGACCACATACCGCTCGGTCTCGCGAAATACCTCGGTAGAAGGAATCTGGCAGGGCGTAGTGCCAAGGGAAGCCATGCGCCACCCATTCTTGATGCACGGCATCTTGGCTCTCTCCGCCCTGGATCTGGGCTTCAACTGCCCCTCCGGTCCGCCCAAAGACTATTACATCCGAACCGCCCAGGCACACCAGTCCCGGGCTGTGACCGGTCTCAGCAAGATCGCGGGACGTCTAGATCAATCCAACTGCAATGCCGCTTTTGCTCTGTCCAGTATCATGGTGGTCTTTTCCTTCGCCCTCCCTCGGACGACGAACAAACACGGGGACGTCCTGAATGAGCTTCTCAACATATTTCGGTTCACACGCGGGTCGGTGGACGTCCAAGGAGGAATCATCAATTGGGTCGCGGATGGCGAGTTCAGTCCGCTTCTCGAGTGCGACACCTCGCAGCCCACCATGCCCGACACGTCTCGGCTGGCCATCATGTCGCTGACACGAATGAACGCGGACCTAGCCAGCCGCGATCCCGCCCATGATAAGGACACGTATGACTCGACGATTAGGTACCTGAGCTACTCGCTGGACAAGCTGGCCCGGGGCGGAGAAACCATGATCATTGCCTTCCAGTGGATCTTCCAGATCCCGCCGCGATACTTGGATTTGCTGCAGCAGAGACAGCCCTTTGCGTTAGCCATCTTGGCCCATTACGCGGTGATTATCCACTCGTTGCGAGGACATTGGTGGATGGGCGAGTGGGGAGCGCGACTGATCCGGGAGATCGGCCAGCGCCTGGGTGCAGACTGGAGAGACTCAATCAGTTGGGTGGTGGACGCGACAGGCTGCTATATTCCTCCAGTCTGAGACGATTAATGGACGAGATGTATAAGTACCTATGTTTTTTTCCATTCTCCAGTGCGCGTTGTTCATTTCAGACACCGAATATGGATGCATCTGCGCGCTGGAGAGCACATTGTGTGGTCACCATGACCATCCTTAAAGACGCGTGCAGCGTGCACGCTGCCCGTCGACAACCTTGAAGCAGGCGGGAAACACCCCTGCCATCCGTGGGCCAGGCTCTACCATGAGTGACCTACACAGAATTCATGCAGTCTTGAAGAAGAGGGAGTCATGCAGTGAACTGTAATAGAAAGAAGACCAGAACACGACGGGAAGTGACATTTGGGGAGGCCGACCGGGAATAAGCACTAAGAGCGGAGCGGAGTCAACACCACAACGAAGAAAGACAAATGCGATAAACTAGTGGAATACTTAGTTGATTAGTCGGTGGACATGAAGGAGAGGAGATCCGACCGCCAATCACTCGACAGCGCAAACTGAACCAGGGTGCTGGACATCTACACCATCTACAACTATCTATGGCATGATCGCATGGGACACATACTCACTTGGCATGAGATGGATGATACCTCATAAGCAATATACGGAGTACTTGATTGGTATTGCATTTCGATTTCAGCAAGCTATGCATACATACATTCCATTCACATCATAGATTCATACACGATCTACAAACACTATTTACCTCGGCAATAGACAGAATTTAAAGAGACTCCCGAGTAATAATACACGTAGTAATAACCACTAAAGAAACAAGGCAAGAAAAAGCAATATGCAGCCCTCCCCATAGATAAGCCCCCGCGATTTCATTGGAGATCTCACTACTAGTAACAATAGTGCCAACAACCACACTACATAAGGGCCCCGGTGTGCCCTGCTAGCCTGCCTGTGTAAAAGAAAAAACAAATGAATGGAAAAGAAGATCGAATGGTTATAATCCTAAGAACACACACACATATTATACTTCAAAAATGAATAACAATACCCCCAGTCCAAACGCAACAGCAATCAGTCAAAAATATGGAATGAAATGAAATGTAACGACAAAATCCGACCCTCGCGCCGTTCTTTTTCCCCACGTCCGGGTTTCTTTACAACATGGGTATTCTTCAAAATAACACAAAAACAGATCTTGATCGAATGGGAGGGGAATATGATGGGAAGGAATGATAAGGATGGGAGTGGATGTGTGAGGGATCTCTCCATCTGAGGAGATGGGTATAGAGATGGAGAGATGAGTAGGTGGGTAGGTAGGTGGTGTCGAGCACTACCTGCCCTGCACACTGATCTGCTTGGGGATTGTTGGGAGCAGGTAGTGCAGGTATCAGTCGGTCGGTCGGTCGTCAGTCAGTCGAAGTAAGATGGATGGGATGAGAACATCCCATCTATCTCGTTGGTCCAGTTCAGCAGTCCAGTCCGGTCCACTCAAGAGAGAGGAACGGAAACACAAGCACACACATATGGTGCAACGATAATCACACGTTTGGAGAAGAGTCAAAGCCAGAAAAGCACAGCGCAGCCAGAGCAGGGGAAGAAAGAAAGAAAGTAGTAAGTTAGTGTGAGCGACAGGACGCAGCTCACTCTCCCTCACTCACCTCTTCCCATACCTCACCACGCCATGCCATATATTGCCATGCCATATCTGCCAGCAAGAAACAACTGACAGAGATAACATCCCAGCAATAAATCCGACCTCATCCTCAACTCCAAACATGTGCTAGTCAACTGGACGGATTCCGTTCTTCACCACCCCCACCACCAGCACCGGCACCGGCACCCTCACCAGCGACACTGGCGGTCTCAGCATCCTTCCTGCGATCCTTCGATTGCGTGCGCACACGCCTCAACTGCTCCTCTTCCTGTTCGCGCACGCGCTTCTCTTCTTCCGCGGAAGGGATATATGCGTTTGCAGCGCCGCCTACAATTATTACAAGCCATTGATTAGCTCATTGTTTGAAAAGATACGACCACGGACAAAGGGGAGGTATAGGGGAAGTTACCTCGGCCCATAAAGTGCGGCGCTTCTTCCATGCGCAATGGGGGCGACTCCACATCCTGCATTTCTCGGGCTAATTCGGGGTGTTCCGGATCATTGTGCATCATGTTACCGGAGCCGCCGCGACCGGTGGTGAAGATGTCTTGTTTGATGGTGGGGGTGACGAGGTCCTTTGGGGTGGTGCGGGATTCATTGTGGCCGGAGAAGATGTTGCCTGTGGGGGAGGAACAATATCGCGTTAGACGAGATGATATTGTGAGTTGAAAGAAAGGGAGACTGAGAGAGCGAAACAGAGGGAGAGATAGTGCTAAACATACCTGCGCCGCCGCGGCCGTGGGAGATATTTCTAGCGCCGCCCATTGTTGCCGAACAAGGAGGGAGTGGAGGGGAAGGGGAGGGCGGAGAGAATGCGATCGGGAGAGTGGATGATCAGAGTGAGTGGTAAGGGAAGTATGGGACGCGATTGATTGCGAAGGCGCAACAACGCAAAGGCGAACTCTCAATCAAAGAGAATGAAGGAGAAGATGAGAAGATGATTTGAAGAGGAGTGGTAAGGGAAAGCAAGCACGCAATAGCTAACCCAGCAATGATCAACACAAAAAAAAGAGAGAGAGAGCTGAGGAGCCGCCAAAGTGGCAAAGGCCGCGAGCGAGAGAAGAAAGACTGACTGGAAAGAAAAAGACTGAACGAGCAGCCAAGACTTTGATTTTGATCAAATGACGTCCTGCTTTTGGGGCCGAATGACCGAGACAGTTTTTTTTTACTTTCCCTTCGCATTGATCCATTCCACTTTTCTAATTCTCGGGTTACTGCATCTTCTATTCTTCTGTTCCCCAATTCTTTCATTCTTCCATCAATTTATTCTTCTTTTAGGGCCCTACCTTGAAGACTAAGTTCATCCCTCTACCTCTTACCTCATCGAAGGGCACCAACCATGCCTAAAAGTGGAAACTTCTTAATCTAACTTGACCCCACTTTTTCCCTTTATTATACTACGTACTACTTACTATATTACCTTGGATTATGATTTTCCTTATTTCATTCCAGAATATTTGCCGACTAGGAAACCCAGTGGAAAAATAGTCCTTAATTGTTCTTTTGGATACTAGTATATTTTTGGTCGATTAATTATTTTGTGTACTAATCTTGTTGGAGAGCAAGTAGGTCTAGGCTTTCCCCGCAGTGAGGTTATCTCTATTATCTTTCATTGCTGGTATCTCGGGATTTGACAGATTAGAATTATAGCTATGGGATAGTTTGGTGAAGCAATGTGTGTTAAGCAATGGTTAGAAAATATGCTCCCCTTGTGTGGATACCTACTATCCCTGAGAGCTGCTATTCAGATTTGTAACAAGAGGATGGGTGATAGCAAGAACCATGTACAGTCATCCTGCAAGTATAGTAATTCTATTATTCACAAACCAAAGAAACCATTATGTATATATACACACCATAAACATTAATCCAGTCATGCGTGTTCATAAACCAGTGCATCCCATCCATGCCATGCGTTGCTGCATACAGCGTATATAATCATGCCGAACCGTCCATCTGGAACAATCGATCCATGTCCATTTCGTACGCCTGTTCAAATCCCATACTCCAGACCCCGTGCGCGCCCTTGACGCGATACGGCCCCTCCCACTTCCACGACTTCTTCTTCTCCTTGTACGAAACGGCTCCAACGTGCTGCATCTGTGACGGGGAGATGGCCAGTCGGTCCAGCTCGGCCCGCCCCGCCTGCATCTCGATCACGCTGTCCACCGCCTTGGTGGGGATCACGTCCTCCATGTGCTCGAAGTACTCCAGGAGAGCTGGAACGTTCTCGCGATTGAAGAGAAGGGCCTGCGAGCAGCAGCCGTGCGCGTTCATCACGTGCACCCCATCTTGCATCGGGTACCAGGTGACCCGACCGGCCAGGAAGAAGAGGGTGATTAGTAGCGGCACGCAGAAGAAGCAGACTACCAGCAGGAAGGGGTTGGTGAGGATGCCCTGGGTAGAGCGGATCTTCCGCCGAGTGTACATGCCTGCACTGGCGCAGAGGGAGACGAGCAGCACACTCCAGGACAGGTAGATGGGCCAATTCTCCGAGTTCCAGCCGAGGAACTTCTCCGTGTAGAAGAGCCGCAGGTATAGCCAGTCCTTGATCGTATCGTGTCGGCGCCAGTCCTCTACCTGCTGGACGCTGCGCATGGTGTCCTCGTACCAATTGCGCTGGGCCACCACATCGTCCTCCAGCATGATGATCCACGGCGCGTCGGTCATGTCGTAGCATGCCTGTAGCCCGAGCCGGTAGTCGATCAGAGACTTCTTCTTTATGTTATTCTTTTTCTCCAAGTTCATAATAATATACCCGGGTGCGTCGACATCGTCGTAGGTGAGTACGTGGTCAACAACATTCGATAACCATGTCTGATTGTAATCCGGGTGATCGGAGGGTTTGCTCAAAGCGAAGAGCACTTGGACGGTCAGCGCCGCTCGCTGCTCGGGTGAGAGGGTATCAAGAATCGAAGCAACGGTTGTGTCGAGGTCCTGCTGCAGGGGACGCTTCACGGTAACGATGCCGACACAGGCGGTCTTCTCCCGTGGCGGGCTGACATGGGAGACGGGACGGGGCGGGACATTCTCGGAACGATTGAAGGCAGACAGCCACTCCAGCGATTCGTGAATCCGTTGGAGACTGTATCCCGGGCGATAGCCTTCGGTAGGCTGGAAGAAGAACGAGCCTGGGTCACGGGCGGACCGAAAGTGGCAGATGACGATAAGGAAGAAAAAGAGGATGGCGAATGAGGACAGAAGCAGCCTCTGCTTTCTGTTGAAGTGATTGAAAGCCATCGGTCACATACTGGTTGGCAGACGCGATCAGGAGGAAGCGGAGGACAGGATGGAGGGGAGAAGGGAAGGGAAGGGAAAAGAGGGAAAAGGAAAACAAAAGGCAGGACCGGATTGCGACAGCAGATAAGCCAGCAGCGGACTAGCAAGAGTTAGCTTGGAGCCATGTTGATGAGACTCGCTGCTTTTGAAGCCCTGGGCCCTCAGGGTCTGCCCATCGCTTAGTTTGCTCTAGTCATTTGCTGGCCAGCTGATAGTCCGGCCGCTCTTTCGTTTATCGGGCCAGTGGAGCGGTGGTCAAAAACCCTTCGAGTTGACCCACGCCCGAGTAGCCAAGTTTTGGGATCGCGTTGGCCCATTGGCCGATCACGCGGTGGGCGCCAGGGCTGAGCGCATGCTGCGTAAGGCATTATCCGAGTAGGGATTCGATAATAGGTGCAGGGTTGGGAATAGCGTCAACAGCCATTGTGGGTTTTCCCGAGGGTCATTGGCTGAGAGAGGGAGAGAGAGAGAGACAGGATGACGATAAGAATAGCTCGGATTGCTTGCTGGGTCAGTTGCTTTGCTTCACTTGCTTGATTGTCTCGGAGCAAAAGTGAGAGGGAAATTCCATCCCGCGCGGGCTAAAAAAAGCCTGCCCAGAAAAAGCTTAGCCCCAAAACGGTGTCCGCCGCCAGAAGAAGATTAGCAGACAAGAACATTGTAGAAAGAACCATCAAAGTGGGGGAAATAATTGACAGATTTCCTTGCATACGCCGAGTCTCATCATGACACAATCAACCAGGGCAGTGCCGATGAAACAATTGATTTAGTGTGATGGCGAAGTGGTTTTAGCACCGCTCATTGTCTCAATTATCTTGGTTTTGGATGGAGTCGGTTCTCGTATTGAACCCACTTCAGTGCTGTGCATCCATCACTATCCTGCACTCTCAATTATCGAGTCCATCCTGCAGACTCGATCACTTTAAACATTCTTGACCTGTCAAGTTCGTTAAGTAATCAGCTGGTCTAAGCTAGGAGGTCAGTGTGACAGCCGGTCACATGATCATATATAAGTGATGTGCGTTCTGAGTCGGTTTAACTCAGTCTTTTACCGGATAGTCTAGTCGTATCTATACTCTTATACTAATGCGGGTTGTTGGATGTAATCATATAAATTGGACATCTCGCAACTAGATACATCTCATGCCCACAAGACGTTCGGCCTCATCCAGGTACTTAAAACGAGGCGGCGTCCTTTTTGAAGACCTTGCTGCCCAGCCAGTCCCAGTCGCCAATAACGTACTGGGCATTACGTGCCTGGGACAGAATCACATTGGTCTGCTTCGTCGAGTGGAGGAAGCTTCTTAAATGCGCCGGTCAACTGACTGACTCATTACAGCAGCACCTGCTACGCGAGTCTACTGCGCGAGTCGGCACTGGGATGGCCAACTTGGCCAATCCCACCGACCCACCGCAGAGGACTTGCGTAACAAACATAGTCACTGCAGCAATTGTTCGCGTTTTGCCCGTACCAGGAGGACCAAACACAAGAGATAGAGTGGGTAAGCAACTGGATAGTTGCCTGCCTCAGTTTGGGCGCTATTGAGCCTCCAATCTTTTGGCACAAGGGCTTTGAGATCCGGGGGAGCCGATTCCCCTGGATCATGGGTATTTACCCGAGGAGTATTGGGAAGGAAAATCGAGGTTAACGAAAGTTTTGGACCATTATCAGAGGAGATGGCCACTTCCTGCTTCGTACAATCACGGCAAGCGTCGTCAAAACTCTCATCGCCCCAGTATTCTTCCAGAGCTCTGGTAGCTTTTTGCATTTCGACCTGAAGCATATGGTTGGCCACAATTAAAACCCTCACGTTATCTTCATCAACTTGCTTGACAGCCCTAACGTCCACGTTGTTAAGAAGGACTGCATGCACAGGAGCATCGATTAAGTCGGTCCACTTGGCCGAATTCTCTGTCACCGAGGCCATGGAGCCTTCCTGAGGCCCACTCTGGCCAGGAATCTTATAGCTCTTAGTCCTCTTCCTCATTGTCTTCATCAGTGGCTTCGACCTGCAGCGCATCGGGGTCAGCGGGGTCAAGTTCTTCATCGGTTGCATCGGCGGCACCACTAAGAGCAAGAACTCGATGGAGAGCCCATTGCATATTGAGCAGCTCCATCGATGGAAGGGGATGGCCGACTGGGTCGTCGGTCTTGAAGGTAAGAACGTCTCCGGAGCGCAGGGCTTTCTCGGTGTTAATATTGAATAGCTTGGCATTGAGTTTGCCTTCCACCTTAATCGAGGACAGGCTGCCATCAGGGAAAGGACGCGGGACTTCTCTGGACGACATAGCGTCCGACAACTTGTTTATCGGCATCCAGTAGAACTTCACCTTGAGGACCTTCTGATCCTCGCTAATCGCCAAAGGATTCAGGGCAAATCGCGCGGTTTCCCAGAGTTTATGAGCGAGGTTGGACATGCAAATCAAGTTGGAACAGGTCTCCGTGCCACTAGGGCCTAAGACCTGTTCTTTCCACTTGCTTATCTTTTCTCTACTCCAGTACATTCGCAGGATTTCCAAGAAAATGTTTAGTTCTGTTTTCTTCCTCTGGCCGAAGCTGTAGGGGAAGATGTGCGCTACTTCTAGCGGTTCACGGTACCCGGTGAGGATACAAGCGTTCTGGTCTCGTTCCTTGCACTGTGATGGGTGATGAGAGATTGACACGGCCATCTTGTTTGATTCGGTATGGAAGTTTCAACTTACCAGTTCGTTGGCTGATTCACCACGGCCTGCCGGCTGCTTCGTTGTTTCTTGAGGACCTACTGCTGCAGGACGGGTGTTGCCAGCGAGGGTGGGAACCCTGGACGCGGTTCCTGAAGTACGCTGGCGCTTCTTTGGACTTTCTTCGATGTCTGGTTCTTCTGCGCCCTCTTCAGTAGTAAGTGAGTCTCTAGGCCGATCCTTCCCTAGTGTTGCATTAGCTCGTACCTATTGGGATGACCGTTTATATCACTTACAGGACATGATTATATACTTAAGGCATTCGCTCTGGGTGAATTTAAGTGCCACATCCATCGGACCCGCCTCCGACTCTTCACAGGTTTTGAGATATTTCCTCAGGATAGCGAGATCCGTAAACCAGAGGAGAGCCCATCCCGTCGAAGGAAGTTTTACATGTTCGATATAGGCGGACAGCTGGGCAATGATTTTGCGCCGCTCTGGGTCGAGGAGCTCGTCTGCAGGTCCCCTGGAGGCCAATTTGTTGGGCGTAAGTGTCGACATCACAACAAAACTGGCACGAGATTTTGCTGGATACCGCGAGGAAGTTCAAGCAAAAGGGTGAAACGGGTGTGGCTTCAATGACAGGAGGCTAATGGGGGCGAAATTTGGTAAGGAAAGGGCAGGTGGCAGGAAGAGAGGAAAGGTGGCCAGGAAACAGCCATGGAAGAGTGATGGGAAAGGAACATCATATTAGGCAAATCTATTGTCATGCCTACCTACTGTAGGATACGTAAGAAGGTTGTATTCACTTGTAGTTCCTATTCCGGGTATACTCAGTGTCGGATCCATCCGAATCGACGTCGGCTTTGCGTTTGGGATCGGTCTTAGCTTTGGCTTTAGGCTTTGCCGTTAGTTCGACATTCTTTTTCGAATCTGGGTGTAGACAATGGAGATTGCCTTATGCAGAGAGCACCCATATGTTCAAATTCTACCTTTGAATGATCACATAATCTTTACTTGGGTTTCCCGCTCACCTCACACTTCACCTCACTTCCTCGCCATAGTACCTTTCCACTTCGCCTTTCCACTCCATTTTCACCTCACCTCTTCATCCCACAACTCTACGCCCTTCCAACCGTCACCTTGACCGACATCCTCTCTCCAGAGTCGTGGGTCAGGCTTTAGTACACGAGGGTGCATACCTCGGCATCACGGGGGACCGGATTACAACATCCGTCAACTCTATCTGCAGACTGGTTAAGGATGATTACAATATCTGATACATCTGACAGCCACAGCTGCCCTAGATATTTCATAGTAAGTTGACAGTGTTTTGAACACAGTATTGAATCTCATGTCAGAACCAACAACTCATCTCCCAAAACTGCGGGGTAAACTCACCAACATCCACGGAGTAATACCCGGACCTCGGCGCCATCATCCATCGTCCATCACCTGCATACTTCCATAGCGTTTAGTAAACAAACTCTGATAACCGAGCAATTGACCATACACAAAATAAATCAGAGTATATAAAGCAATATAGCTTGCAGGGCAAGGTTAAAATTCAATAAGCAGCGTCATCACATCGATCACCTCCAATCATCACCATCCCCTCATCAATCATCCCAATCCATCAGCATCCCAATTTACTATCATCATGTCCATCACCCTCCCCCCATCCTACGAATCCCACCCAACAACCCACATCAAATTCTCCCACCACCCACCCAACACCCCCTCCCCAACCCCCGTCATCATCATCACTCTCAACCGGCCCGACAAACGCAATGCCTTCACCTCCACCATGGCCCAAGAGCTCGAATGGGCCTTCACCACCCTGGACCGCGATCCCCGCGTGAAAGTAATCATCCTGACCGGTAGCGGAGATACATTCTGCGCTGGAGCAGATCTCGAAATCGGATTTAGTGTAGGCGAGAAGGGGAAGGAGAAGTTGAACTTACGTGATTATCGCGATAGGTGGGATACTACCTACTTACCCTCTATACTACTTACTTCACTTCCCATGAACAAATACTTCCATACAAGTGATTGATTTTTAACCACCAACAAATACTAACCGTGGGAGGATGACTGCAGTGGCGGCCGCGTCGCCCTCTCCATCCACCGATGCCGCAAGCCCACCATCGCCGCAATGCAAGGCTCCGCCGTAGGAGTCGGTATGACCATGACTCTTCCTGCTGCTATTCGGTATAAATCTCCCAGCATCCCTCCTACGCAAAGTCCCACTAACAATGGTATATATAGAATCGCCCACACCCCCAGCAAATACGGCTTCGTCTTCGCCCGCCGCGGCATAACCATGGAATCCTGCTCCAGCTACCTCCTCCCCCGACTAATCGGGTATTCGCGCGCCATGTACCTCGTCTCCACGGGGGCAGTGTACCCGCCCACATCACCGCACTTCGGGGGTCTCTTTGCCGAGACATTTCCCACGAAGGAAGGGGTTGTGAAGCGGGCGGTGGAGTTGGCGAGTGAGATGGCCCAGCTGGTGAGTCCGATGGCCGGGGCGTTGAATCGGGCGTTGATGTGGAGGGCGCCGGCGAGTGTTGAGGAGGCGCATTTGCTGGAGTCGAGGGTTTTGGGTCATATGTTTGCTTCTGAGTAAGTTCTTCTTTTTATCTATTTGGGGAGTAGTAGGGGAATATTGCTGACGAGTGGGTGGTGTAGGGATCAGAAGGAGGGTGTTGGGGCGTTCTTTGAGAAGAGGAAGCCCGAGTTCAAATGTGATTTGGATGTGGATGGGCCCGGGAATTATCCTTGGTGGGCGGAGGTGGATATTGATCCGAGGGGGGAGGTTGAGAATAAGTCAAAGCTGTAAGAGTCGAAGACTAGGATGTAGATATAGCGAAGAAGTGAACATATTCAATAATCATTTTAAATCGCTCACTGATATGAATATTCGTACAAATAGGAGAAAAAAGAGAACTTAATTATAGTTCTCAAGAATGCCATAGTAACAATCACTCAAAAGGAAATAGGCATCCCATGCAAAACAGAACCACTCAACTTTAAACAATGAAATGACGTCTCTTGCGGTTATACGCCCGCTGATCCTTCAGCCACTGGCGATAACCCTGCACACTACCGATCTTCTCACCATAGTAATCCGGAACAGGGTTAGCAATGGAGTTAGACGACGGGTCGACACGGAAGCGTCTAATACGGTCGAAGAATTCCTTCTCTTTCTACACACCATTCATTATCAGCATTTTCACACCCTTCAATATTCAATATAGGCAGGGCAGGGATAACTTACCACCATAACAGCAGGCTTATATCTCCGATAAACCAACCCCCAGACCGCATTCCCCACAAACGGACCAACAAGCCAACCCGCCGCACCGCACGCCGCCGTCGCCATACCCAGCACCACAAACGGATCTAGACCCATGACCTGCGCCCCGAGGGACTCCAGATCCTGCGTCGAGAGAACCTGCACCCCAATGACCGTGGTGAACAGGGAGCTCACGATCGACGAGGCAAGCGAGTACCGGCGACGGCTAGCGCGGAGCTTGAAGAACGAGTCCCAGTCGAGACGGACGGCTTCGCTTTTGGCAGCGGCGGCGGAGGAGTTGGCGCGGCGGAGGACCAGAGAGGTGGGGAGCTGCGTTGTCGTCGAGGGACGCAGAGCTGTGGTGGTCTTCACGGTCTGGGTGCTGCGGACTCGCATGGAGGTGTTGGTGCTTGCGGTCCGGGCTTGAATGAGCGCTTGATACAACGGGTTGGTGCAGCTGCTGGGGTGGGCGAAGGGGCCCAGCGTCTTGGAGGTGAGGCGTCCACTCAGCATGGCAGTACGCATCCCGTTGATCCAGGGGGCGTGCATGGTGGATGGATGTTGGGTTGGGAGTGGTAGGATGTTGTGGTGATGGTGGTTTGATTGATTCGTTCTGAAGTTCGCCGGGTGAAGCTGGGGATTATGTAAGCGGGTCTGAGGCATGACCTCATTGGGAGATGCCGCGGTAAATATGGACTATACAGGGGCAGTGCTTGTTTGGAGTGATGTGTGCTCCATGGCTGCAATTACCTTGGATGTAGTTTAGGTAATGTGTTATATTCATCTGGGCGGATTGTAGCATTTCTGGTGGGATCTATAGGATGATCTTGGGCTCTTGAGGAAAATACTGAAGTAACATGCGAGATAAGATGACTAGTCAAACATAGCAGTACAGAGTACGCCTACTGTTCTCGATTTTTACCAAGCACTACGAAGGCTAATAAAATGTTTGCTCTTGCAGCAGAATATGGCACTGGACTACTCTATACTGCAACGTTCAAGGCATCACGATGGTCGGTAAGCATGTCAACCAAGCCGTGAAGCGGATGAAATTATGCACGTCAGAATTAGGTGTACAAATGATTATCCCGCCATTTTGCATTTTCATCACCAAGCCTATTGGTGGTGCATTGTAGAAGAGAATTCTGCCTCGTTATGATCGGTAGATCTGGGAGTGAAATAGGCCGAAATGAAGATTGCAATGCTGACATTCAGTAAGAAGCGCATCGAGAATATTACCAGGGGATCAGGAAGGTGTCAGAATGAAGAATGGGCCGAAATTCTAAGAACTGAAGAAGATGGTATAGGCGGATTATTTGACAGGCACTATTTCTGTTATGTAATTTGCTCTTGGTGTTGAATGAGCTCGGCTAAAGAGTGCGGGGGTTCAGGACGCTTTGCGGGGTATCGAGCCAAATGGTTGAAAAAGATGCATAATTTTGCACAGTATATTTCCGGAATAAAAGAACTCGAGTATATCGAATTAATTGGCTGAAGTGTTATATGCTGGTAGTATATGTCGTCTTGTCTATACTATGGTATTGATTGTATCTCGCCTAGGTCGAGTAGGCCCACCGCTATACCTTGCAACTCAAGATGTATGATTTAAATTTTGCCGTTGCTTCTGATGGCTCCAGGGCGAGACTGAGCTTTGGCGCTCGTTCCGTATCCGTTCACGCGGCCATAGAGCCATTTGAGAGTTCCCGTGCTCAGCGCCATTGTAACGGCGCTCAGGGTAAAGAGTCCAATGCGACCCTCGAATCCTACGGCCTCAAAAATGGGGTAAGGATACCTATACAGTCAGTGAGCTGTACTTCTATAGAAGCGAATACAAGACATACCATCCATTGTATTGGAAGCATCGTTCGATCCAAAACCAGTATCCAAAAGCGATGGTGCTGGACAGAGCCAGTGCAGGAAGAACAGTAATAGTCCAAGGAGGTGAAAGAAGAAGAAGGTCAATCAGTAGAACGATAGACGGTATAGCATGGAAGCCGACGTCTTTGGTCGTAATATTAGCAAGCTTCCTTCAAGCGATACGAGTCCGACTTACCGGCATGCATAGGAAGTATCACCCAATCAGGAACAACCAAACGCTTATCAATCTGTTGAACTGTTAGGTGGAATTACAATCGGCATGAAGAATTAATTACCAGACGAATCCCCCAATATAGGATACTGATCAGCACTTCCATTGGAGCGCTGCATACAGAAAGAAGGTTCTTGACTAAAAATAGCCGAGCCGATAACGTCATATCCGCCAGCAGACCGGCGGTAAAGGTGAGCGTGGCCAGCGTCAGCCCAATGACCGTCAGGTACTGGAAATGCCAACCATATGCTTCATTTCTGCCAGGAAGGTCAATCGGCATCTTTGGTTACTCCAGGGCAAGGACATTGGGTGCTTACGCCATATTGGGGTTCTCATGCATGCTAGAGAACGGCTGGTTAGTGGGCGGGCCAAGCACGGGGAGCACGAGCTGTAACAGAACTCAACGCAACATACTACTTGAACGAGAAGAAGAAGCTGGCTAGACCTAGAGACTGCCATGGGGAACAAAACATCAGCCCAAGGAACGAGAGACCAACACGGGTAAGTGCTCACATGAACCAAGGCCGAGAAGCCTCTGGACGGGCTGGACAGGCGCTGCAGGGGATGTTGCCGCTGAAGCGACTGAATTGTTCCAGAAGACGCCATACTGGAAGCGGGATAGAGGTAGAAACTGAAGGGGTTTCGATTAATTAGAACGACACTCGGTTACAACCCGGACACTTGCAATCACTGCCGAAGAGGCTTGAAATGAATAACAGAGATAGGGATCTCACTAATGCAATGATCTAAAGAGCTGGCTAGGATGCCCGGCTATTCCGGGGAGGCCTTAGTAACCGGGGGCAGCTAAGCCTGACGAGGTAAAGCTGGGCGTAGCTGAACTGGACAGACCGCCGCGAACCGGAGAAACCCGCCGCCCGGACCAGCTGGGCCTTGGCTTATCAGGCCGGTCTGATTGATGGAGACGGCCGATGGTCTCCCCCCCACTGACTGGTTATCGGGTGGGCTTCATGACTGTTGACTGGCTTGTCTTCTCCGCCCGTCTCGTGTAGCATGTATCTTGGTTCGGTGATTACTTCCACTCCTCCCTTTCTTTTCTTCTTCACTCCAAAAGTCCCTAAATTTCTGCTGGCTTTTGCTTCTTATCCTGGACAACAATAGCGTCATCCCTATACCCTCTAATTCTTGGCTACACTTCAATTTACAACGGAGTCGATCGACTAGTAGGGTTGCTGTCAAACCACATAGATTATCGTGGATTCTTCCCCACACCCCGATGAGTACGAACAACGGGTGTGGGTGTCTTGTCGATTATCGTTTCTTATCGTCTTGGGTGAAACGCCCTACACGCAGGAAAAAAGCCTTCTTCAGCCTCTTATCTAGATCGTGATCGCTGTCTCGGTCTGTATGGCGATCTCACTCTGCAAGGTAGATCGGAACCATCTCAGATTCCGGACCATTTATCGCTGTGGTCGCGATTGCTGTTTGTCGGATTTAATCCCTCAGCCAGATCGGGTGTGAACTTCCATGCCTCGCCCCAGAAGACCCGGCGCGCCAGAGCCGAAACGACGATCCCGTAAGGGCTGCTGGTGAGTTTGCAGAATACCTTCTGTATATATCTTTAAAATAACAAATTCCAGGCCGTGCAAAGCCCGAAAGGTGAAATGGTTTGTTTATACCCTGATCTCTTTTTTTGCTATTCAAACTGCTCTTCACGGAGAGCACCATGTCATTGTGTTTTGGTATTGACGATGAAGCTGATTTCATGCAGTGGAGAGGAGAAACCGTCGTGCCTCAACTGCCGACGCCAGAATGAACCATGTGACTATAGCATCAGGTTGAATTGGGGCGGGAGGACACGGAGAAAATCTTCTGTAGACTCCCCCGGCTCTCAGTCCAGTAGTCCACCGGGTCACTATGCCACCTTCAGTTTCTCGCCATCGAACCAATACCATCCGGATGCCCCGAGTCCAGTCCAGCCATACACACCCTTTTCCATGCGAGACGGAACGACTGCGCCAGATCAAGCTGCAGGGGACTTGCTATGGGATGTCGGACTTGCAGGGGGAATGGAAATAGGAACATCCACAACCAGTCCTAAAGGATTACATGATATCCTCCATGAAACTCCGACTGCCTTTGGCCAGTTAAATAATGAATCCAACTGTACAAATGGCAAGACCTCTGTAGACATGGGGGCTGCGTCGCAAGATCAAGAAGCGACCTCCCCATGGCCAGATTTGTCCCCCGATTTAGCCACATCCTCGTCGAGCGAGACCCTGCTCGCTTTCTCCCCGCCTGTACCCTCATCGCTGGACACCATCTCATACCCATCACCTGCAGATACGAACTCGACCATCGGTTCATTCGCGGCTTTTAACTTTTCCTCTGCCACGATATCGAGGCCCATCTCGTTCCTCCGACATACATCGGATCTCCATCATTCCCCGCCCGACTCCAATCACATGCCCGAACCTCGTACCGAGTTTTCTAGCTATTCCTCGTCTACGGATGTGATGAGTATCTATGCGGACTTCCATTCACATGCATCATCTTCTACTCAGAATGCGGCATCGCCAGGGTCGGCAGAAGCAAGTTTGCTTTCGTCAGGATTGGCTCACGAGGCCCCAGCGCTGCAGGCGGGTCCAGCCGTCCATACGGAGAACTTCTTCAGCAAGATCATGAACGATCCTCTGCA